GCACAGTTAATAGATGCTGAAGTTAATAGATAATTGAATAATGGAAGATTCTGCTTCTGTTCGTCGTTGAAAATTAAAAAACGATTGTCTCTAAGCGCATGGGAAAGGGTTTATACAGATTTTATGAAGTATCAGCTGTCGAAACGCGACAAATATCGAGAGCGATTTTCAATGGAATTGCAGCAAGTGCATACAAATACACGACGATACGATATATCGCGCCGATGATCGAGTCAATAAAAAGATCGACAGATTGGGAGCAGCGCTATTGCACAGTAGTTTCGCAAATTAATTTAGAGCCAACGTCCAACAATCTGATTAAAGATCCGATCCGAATTGAAGAAAGTCGCGATTTGCAGAACAGCACAGAGTGGAAAAGCGGAGGGAATTTTGTATTTAAACGAATGCGTATTCGTCTACGATAAAGCATAGATTTCGTCGCGTGGTATAATCGCGCGCCGATAAAGGACGACGGTTCGTTCGTTGAATGAATCTCGCCATTGGCTACCGTGGTGTGCGGTAATCTCTTACTCCCTTCGCTCATTATCGTTGAAATTCGAGGACAGGCCGTGTTCTGGAATTTTCCGCGAGGTCTCCCCATTTCGTTTAGATTTTGCCACGCGACCTCGCTTTGTTTATAGACTTGCAAATCGTTTTGCAATATCGTCGAATAACCGGCTCGAGTATCGGCGTCGTTGTTTTTTCAGTAAATATTTTGGAAACCGGTGATCGTCGACGCAATTCCCCCCCGTTGCGAAATCTCCCCCTCCCCCCTCCCCCTCCCGTTGGATCGAAATAAAATTAATATATACCGCCGACGATGATTCTACTCTCGAAAGAGACGCGTGAAATTCGTTCCACGGACGTCGGGCAAATTTTGTCGGACCAATTGACGCCGATAGAGTTCGAGATCACGCGAAGGGATTGCGTTGGAAATAATCTGACGAGAGTCGTTGTTGTCCAGTTGCTTCGTAGACCGATGGTACACACGGTGTAAAATCCGATACGTGTACGGTATCGATGCCTGTCTGTCTTTCTCTCCGATGTCTTCTGTTACGTTTGCACATTCATAAAACCGTCGGCTGTCGTGGACCGGCCTCGAGAGTTTCTACAATCGTCATTACGCCTCCAAGGCGGTCGCTTGTCGGCCCTGGACCGTCGTCGTCTATAACTGTATAGGCTATCGTCTAGCGCGAACGAGCGAGACAGATTGACAGAGACAAGAGACGAACTATTCTCTCTGGCGAGAGCGGTGTGACGTGGTGTTGCGCGCACATATGTGAAACTGTAGCCAAGTACGTCCAATTATCGCTCGTAGACAATGAGTTCCAAGGTTTCGCGTCCACGAATCTCGATGACCGTCGGCGTTCGTGCATTTTTCCCCCCCGCCGCCGTATCTCGGTCGGCTGTGAACCAGTGAGGAGGGAAGGGGAATGACGTCCCCCGACGACGCAACCTACGACGAAAAATTCAAGCGTCGACGAAACGTTATCGTAATCGTGTAGTATCTTTAAATAACTCGAGCCCCCGCTGACAGCCAGCGAGAATCAAAACATCGCGATCGCAAAATACTGGAATACGGAATTTGTTTAGGAAAATTTCAGCCAAACGCTTCAGCGAAGCTCTTCGTTGTTGATGATCTAGACCGTTGGTACGGGAAAACGGGGTGATCCACGGAGTCTGCGTTATCTTCGCTGCAATTATCGATATCGTACGAACGATTTCGTAAACACGGCGCGCTAGGCGCGTCCGACGATGCCAAGATTCCCGCGCTTCTCCAGCGAGCCCTGGCTAAGGTTATGGCTTGCTCTAGGAGTGCATTAACCCCCGTCGGCTCCAGAGCACATCGTAGAAGAAGTGCACAAGTGGCGCGAAGGGGGACGGTAGAGAGAACTGACTCTGCTCTCTCTCTCTCTTTCTTGTTTCGACTCGGCTCGACGCTTCTCTCTCTCTCTCTCTCTTTCTCTCTTGGTTCCGCTGTCAAGACTCTGCCGGTCTCTCTATCGTGCTTACGGCAGCGAAGCTAGGAGTTCGTGCTCGCTTTGCCGAGCGCTTTTGCGAAGTCAGGGGCGGCCTAGGAAGAGCCTAGAGAAGGGGTAGGTGCGGTAGCTGGGAGGTAACGGGTGGCAGAAGGTGGTGGTCAGGCGCGCGGGGGGCCAGCAGAGGAGGAGGAGGAGGAGGAGGAGGAGAGGGGAGGAGGCAGAGCGGTGACGCCGGCCGCCAGACTTTCTCCGGTGAGCGAAAGTGAGAGGGCCTCGCGGGAGTTTGTGTGCCCTCCCCCTCCCCCTAGATCTAGGGGACAAGGGGGGACATGGATCTTGCTTTCACCGTGGCCCAACCGACGTGCTTGCTGCACTTTTCTCCGATGTAGAAACGATGCAGGCGTGCGATATCGTTCGGTCGCTTTCGTACGTTGACGAAAAATTTTCGTCACTCTCGACTCGGATGTAGCTTATTGAGCTACGCTGCGATGCTAACGTCGCTTTGGTTTAGTTGCTCATGGATTTAAAGAGGTTGAACATCGTGCGAAATTTAATAATTAAAATCGACGAATTTATGGTTTGGTCTGGATTGGGAATAGTTTACTGTTCCTAATCGTTTTAGGCGCGCGCGATCCACCGAAACTTTCTTATTTCTTGGGACGCGTGTTTCGCAAGTGCGCGAGAAACTCGGAGAGGAAGAGCCGGTTGCAATTGAGCGCCGCGTTGGAGAAAAAGCGACGGCGAGTTAGTTACAGCAGCGACACGGCGCTGACGAACAATTACGAATTTACTTTCATCTCGTGCAACTTCCTTGTCGATGGTCACGCGGTGGATTAGCCGAGTCCCATCAACGCGCCGCGTCGTGCCTTTTCCTCGCCTCCCTTTTGCTTTCAAGCCTCTCCTTCGTTTCTCCTTATCGCTGCTTCTTATCGAACAGCTCGTCACCCTAGCTCTCGCACGGCGGCCAGAGTACAGAGATGCAAATTAGCTTCTTTCTCTTCAAGATTGTAATCTACTTATTTCCCGCTTTCGAATTTTCGCGCCGAATTTTTTAAGCACGTTGCTCAGAGGCTCGCAATTGGAATTAGATCGAGGAATCATCGTTAACCTCTTTGCGCTGGAATGACGTGCCACGCACGTCGAGAAATTTCTGTCCCAAAACTGTATAAATATCTTCTCAGTTTTAAGTACATTTAAGTGAAACAAAACAGGCAAAGACAAATAATAAATTTATTACTTCTCAACAATTTCTATCTAGTAATATCGACGAGTTTCGAAAAGAAAGCGACAAATTATTTTATACGGTTGTGGTGATTCGTTATGGTCCGCAATTAGTCTTGCGCTAGAACGACGTGCCACGCACGTCGAGAATATTTGGCCCAAAATTGCAATATTTTCTCAGTTTTAAGTACATTGAAATGTAACCCAGGCAAAACGAGTAATAAGTTTATTACTTCTTAGTAATTCCTATCCAGTAATGAATTCAAAAACGAAGGCGAATTATTGTATATTGGTTTGGTCACTCGTTATGGTCCGCGAACCAGTTACCAGCGCAAGAGGTTAAGCGCACTTGTCGAATATTTGGCCCAAAATTGCAATACTTTCTCAGTCTCAAGTATACTTAAGTATAACCCAGGCAAAACAGATGATAAATTTATTACTTCTTGATAATTTCTATTCAGTGAAATTCAAAAAAGGAAGCGAATTATTGTATATTGGTTTGGTCACTCGTTATGGTCCGCGAACCAGTTACTAGCGCAAGAGGTTAAGCGCACTTGTCGAATATTTGGCCCAAAATTGCAATACTTTCTCAGTCTCAAGTATACTTAAGTATAACCCAGGCAAAACAGATGATAAATTTATTACTTCTTGATAATTTCTATTCAGTGAAATTCAAAAAAGGAAGCGAATTATTGTATATTGGTTTGGTCACTCGTTATGGTCCGTGAACCAGTTACTAGCGCAAGAGGTTAAGCGCACTTGTCGAATATTTGGCCCAAAATTGCAATACTTTCTTAGTCTCAAGTATATTTAAATATAACTCAGGCAAAACAAACAATAAATTTATTACTTCTTGATAATTTCTATCCAGTAATGTACCAATGAATTCAAAAAAGGAAGCGAATTATTGTATATTGGTTTGGTCACTCGTTATGGTCCGCAAACTAGTTACTAGCGCAAGAGGTTAAAGATTAACAGAAACCAAATGAAATACTACGGATTTTTATTTCGTCTTGCACGGTAGAAAAGTTATACAATATAAAAAAAAAAAAAAAAAACGAAGAAATAACAGTATGAAAAGTATTGCATTGGTTTTTGCTCGTCGTTTGCAGCGGTACGATGCGTCGCAACATGGAGCCGCGTGACGTCACCAGTGTCCGTTTCTCGGTCGTAGGACGTATTCACTGACTCAATTGATTTTGACGATTATAGCGACCTGTTCTCCCCTCAGCAACATTTGCGGCACGTGTCTCTCCAAGGTCTCCTTCTTTCCCTCGATCTTCCTCACGACTACTTTGGGCGCGGCGTCCTCTTTCGTTTTTACGCCGCTCGGCGCACCTAAATGGATCGAGAACGCGAAACAATTTAAAAAGTTGGATCCCCTTGGATTTATCTTGGAGTTGTCCCCGACTCTTGAAACACATATATACCGATAATTTGCAACAGTCGCAACAATTTTCACGGTGGAAGACGAGAGCTAGAGCAGAATAGGGACAAAGAGAAAAAAAAAAAAAAAAAAAAAAAAAAAGAAGAAAAACAAAACAGCGAAGGTTGACGTCATGGTGAAATTGCGAACGAAGAGAATGTCGATGGGTCACGAGGTAAGTCTCGAAAGGTTGTTTATGCGCTGGCACGTGTCCGCCAAGCTCGAGGGGAGACAGAAGGGCGTAGGGCGATACGGTTAGGAGGGAGCAAGCACGAGGAGTCGCTGGGACACGTGTACTCGGCAGACATCGATCCTGGAAGTTGCTCTTCAAGGTCGCTCCCGGCTTGCCACCCTCGCCGTTTCGTATCAACGACCTCTCGACCCCCCTCAGGATATCCTAAAGTACGTTAGTAGGCCAACTAACCCTGAACTCTCGGTGTACCGTGATTACTGTTCTCGGAGGGATCACCCTTTTTAGACTCAACAACGCACGGTTGTCCTACATTCCCTCTCTGTCCTTCCCAACTGCGTTTCGTCGCCACGCTGTCTCCGTTCTCGCGCGAGGATTAATTAATCACAATCATCCCCCACCCTCTCACGTAGAGATCGTCGGATCGTTTCGTTGATTTACGAGCGCACGTTGAAACAACCAGCGAGATTTTTATCGCGTTCGAAGGAGGACAATCGATTCACACCACGCGCAGACACCATAGAACGAAACGAAACTCGTTGCCCCCGCAAAAAATTTTCGAGTCGCGCGATAATGATTTAGGTTACGAGCTAACGGCCGATAAAAAAAAAAAAAAAAAAAAAAATAAGAACATGCGAACGTGGGGATAAACTGGCGGGTGGTTGGACAACGGAAACCGCGGCCGATTTCTTTGGCCGGAAATCTTTGGATAAGCGGCGGGTAACACTAGGGCAGGACCGAAGGTCTCGATAAGACGCGTTTGCAAGGAAGTTGCAATTGCGGACGCACGTGCGGGCTGGCGTGGCCACGTGAATGAATGGAAACGTGTGCCGAAGGTTGCAGGGTTGTGGCGGAACGAGGAAAGTAGGAAGGAGGAAGACGGAACGGAACGGAAGGAAAGAGGTGCGAGCAGGAGGGAAACGGGAGTAGTGGGAAGAGAGGTAGAGAGAAAAAGAGCGAGACTCCGAGAGCGACCTCTTGCGTTCGATGAAGAGAAGGTGTTGGATGTGCGCGAGCGCGAGCGCGCACGCGAGAGAGAGAGAGAGAGAGAGAGAAGAAAAAAGGGAAACGAACGACGAAGCGAAGCACATGGGCCTTGTATCGAACGTAGCAACCACTATGTAGTCAAGGTCGGTCTTTGCCCCTTAGCGTAAAGGGACGTCCTGAGGATTGTATCCCCCGCGATACAACGACCCTTGGCTATCTCTCGTGTAAATAAAGGTGGCTAACGATAAGCGAACGGCCAACCGGAAGCCGTTCATTAATTTTATCGATTTCCGGCGTCATTCGTCTGTTCCATTATCGAGAGGAGTGGCTAATCACGTATTCAAAATAGATCGACGAACCGAGCCGAACGAGTTATTATTAGGCGAGAAATCCCATTCAACGGTGGAACACACCGGCGTGTGTTAAAATATTCAAACGCGTGATATTTAGTTGATCTTGCGATTTGACTGCGGGAGGGATGGAAAGTACGAAAAGCGCCGTCGTGGCATCGATCAGCCGCGTAAATAGGAAGACGCGAACGTTCCATTGACACAGACAGTGGTAGGAGTCATTCATGGCCGGGCGAGTGTAGGAAGGACTAAATTGGATTCTCGTTAGGCTCGAAGAATACACGCTAACGCTTGCTACGCCTATTGATACGTCGTGTTAAAATTCTGGACGCACGCGGCCGCAACCACGTCCATTATGTATAATCTAGAAATTTGCATGCCAATTTGTACATATACGTGTACTGTGGGATAGAAACATTTCGAGGCCGATCAATGGACGCACCGAATGCGTTTTCGCATAAAAAAAAAAAAAAAAAAAAAAAAAAGAAAAACGCGACAACGCACTGTTGTTAAGAAAATAAATGTAACCGCGTAACGGATGACGAATTGTTTCGTACGTCGCCGGTATCAGTTTGCGTCGATCGTCAAAAAGCGTTGAACTGCAGAAATGCGAATTGTTCTGCGAAAGAGAAATCTGAAGACGGTTTCGAGACAATTCAGAAAATATTCTTCCTTTCGAAATAAAACATGAAAATGGTAGAAAATGACAGAAGAGAAGCCGCGACTATTCGACTTTTCATTGAACCCACGACATTGTTTAGAATTCCTCGGCAAGGCGGCACAGGCCTTGAGCGGCCGTCAGATAGTCAGAGATTCAATTTTTTCAGGGCCGTATCGCGCCTCGCGCGCCGCCTGTCGCGTTCGAATCACGGGCAAGACGAGCTGCTACGTCGTACAAATGTCGGAGGTTACAGCTCTCAACCGCTTTTTACAGACTGTATTAGCATCCCAATGATGTATGATTCATCGCCAGATACCACGTGCCATCGTCCACCAAAGTAAACTAAATGGAAAAAAAAAATCGTCGTCGAATCGATACGAGCGTTATTTTAATAATCAGAGTCACTCTGCAAACAACCGACAGCGAATTTATCATCGTCTTGTTACTTGTCCGAAAACTGCTGTTTTTTTTTTTTCTAACAATCTCGGTTTTTCAATTTCTTTCGCTCGATCGAAATTCGACGAAACGCAAGCGAGAGAAGAAAAAAGAAAAAAAAAAAAGAAAAAAGAAAGGGAATAACAGAAAAAGAATACAAATTACCAAGAGCAGGTGCTTTCCTCTTCACTTTACGAGTCCAAACCTCAAAGCAGTCCTCGAGCGCGAGGTTCCAGTGCTTGTCGAAGGCAGCCACGTATGCCTCCACGTGTCCCCTTATGCCGCGCGCGTTCCTCGTGTAGACCTTCGGCACAAAGGACGAACGATTATTCCTTTTAAATCGTGGCGAGTCTCGTGTTGTCCGTTCGTCGTGGCGGTTCAACTGTTCCAGGTAAAGCCGGCTTCTCGCGAAACGAGAAGACGAGGGAGGGAACCGCGACCGATCGAGCTGAAGCGAGGGAAGAAGAGACTCGAAATAAGTGCACGGACGTAACGCGCATCTCGATCCGCCTATTCCAGATCGTACGTGTCCGTACTTGCGATGAAGAGGAACGTCGGCTGCCGTGGTGCTCGTTTCGCTCGTTGATCGATCGTTTCGGCCTGGGAAAAGGCAGGTTATTTTTTTTTTTTTTTTTTTTACACGCGCTGCATCAAAACGACACATGCATAATTTGTACACGCTCTGTATTGTACGTTTTTTTTTTTTTTTCGCGACACGAGAGGATAAAACATTCGACGTGTACGTACCACGTTCGAATATTTATTTCTCTCTCTCTCTCTCTCTCTCTCTCTCTCTCTCTTTCTTCCTGATTTGTTGAATCTCAACCACGAAGGTTAATAAATCTTTGTCGATGTCGGAGACATCGTGGACGAGCTTTTCGACGACGAGGATTGCTGCGAGAAGAAAGTACGTGGTCACGCGAACTTTTCCATTTTCCAGAGGATAATTGTATTAATGACAGTTGCCGCGAGCGTGTCCACGAGAGAGCGAGCACCGTTCCGTTGTTTGTCATGCGCGCGTAGATATGCCGCGAGACAAGATAGCAGGCTGATACGCGGAAGTGCAGACCGTGGCAAGGCCCCCTTCAATGCCTTTCGCACTGATATATACCCGGCTTTGTCGCAATGAAAACTAATTGCGTGACTCCGACTCTGACTCGCTTCTTCCCCCCTCTCTCTCTCTCTCTCTCTTTCGCTCTCTGTTCCCCAGCGCGCATCCAAAGCTCAGTACCGTTTTTCCACAAGATCTTTCAACAAATCTTCTCAACGATTGGCCAAGCCGAGCTCGATCGTTCAAGGTTTCGACAACTCCATCGAAATTCTTCCATCTTATTTCTCCAAATTTTCTGCCTTTCCTTTTCGAACATTTTACACTTCTTTAAATCACTTTTTCTTTCGACGTTTCTTGAAGGGATGTTCCTTTAAGACAGTTTGACACGGGCCTAAAAATTACGAATACTTTGGCTGGTACATATTTGATTGACACGAGCTTTTATGGTTTATCTTAATACATTATGAAAAGCAACATTAAAAGAAAAAGAAGAGGGTTCTTATTTGACTTTTTAACGGAATCCTTTTATACATAACTTTTTTTTACATCGGGGTGTGCGTGATTCCAGCCAAACAGGATTAGCTGCAACGAAAAGACAAAAAAAAGTTACTATATTCTTTAGGGATTGACGATCCAACATTTTCATTTTGTTTACGTTTTTTGTTTAAGAAATGTTCCATCATCAATCTCTAGGAAATGTTACACTAAAGATACGAACCAAGTTTCACAGTAATCCGTTGGTCAGATTCCGAGATATCTTGCAACACCGTTTCTAAAAACCTAGTTTCGCGAAAAACGCGTTTGAAATTTCAAAATGTCATTTTTCATACGTATGCGTTATTTATATCGCGGCTCACAATTGTTACGATTCACGACTAAATTGAATCCAAGTCCCCTAATATTCGATTCACCAAAAGTAATATTTCAATCACACGATTTACATTTATAATACTACTTAGTTGTAAACAGCGATACAAATTCAATTATTCTGTATCCGCGGATTTATTATTATACTCCAAAATAGGACCTTTTCTATCTTATTTCTAAGACTTCAAACTCATTTAAAACAAAACAAAAACAAAACAAAAAAATCGATTTTATGAAATTTCAAATTATCCTAATCTCTTAAATCGATCCGATTTACCCAGTAGAATACTGGCGACAGTCGACCAACGACGACTAAAGAATGAAATTTCCATCAAAGATATCAAAGATAGCAACGGAAACGGAACAATTTTATAATATTAAACAGAGTACGCAAGCTTTTACGGAACAATTTTATAATATTAAACAGAGTACGCAAGTTTCACGAATCTCTACGAACATATATTGTTTTAATTTATAAATATATATTGTTTTTTTTTAACAAATTTTCAACAGTTTTTTAACGATTTTCGAAGTAATCGCAATTTGGCCATTCTGACCGCTTTGGTCGAATTCCAGTGTTGAAGAAATCGAAACGCCGCCACGCGATACCTTTCTTTCGCTACTTGTCATTGACTCCGCGCACGTGTCTCGTGCGTGCGCGAAACGCCATTGAGAAGAGGGACGCCAGGCTGATTATAAGCTAGAAGTCCTCAAGATTCCATCCATCCGTACGTTTGCTGGACCAGCAGCAGGGCCATTAATCGCGAAGGATAACCACGTTGTTGCCGCGTTCATAGATTTGCTTAATCGTTAGGCCCAACGCGGTCGATCGGGTCTTGTCGATCCGCGATCAGATCTTTCTGGAAACCTGTCCAGCCGAGGGAAATTGAAAATCGATTCTGAATCTCAAGGTTCGTTGCGAGATTCCAGTCAGAACCGGGAAATGTTTGGCTTTCGATAGTGATGATTATTAAGGAATCAACGAGAGTGAAAATGAGCGAGTGAATTGCAGGCGTGTTACCGAAGTAACAGAAATCGCGTAATGACAATTGTCCTCGCGCGAATCGCATTCATCAACTGTTTCTTCCTTTTCTCCATTGGCGATCCTTTCGTTGCGTAACATCGTGCATCATGCAGGATATTACGCAGGAATGCATGAAAATGACGAGAGCGCGCGAGATGGGACTGGATTCTCCAAGGAAAAGAGCCAATCGCTTTCTTCGACGAATTGAGAAGAAATCGAAGGTCGGAGTGATCGATCGGCGAAGATGAAAAGAAAAAAAAAAAAGAATCTTCTTTCCGGATGCAGGCACATCCGAAGGTTAGAGATTAGGATCTGTTCCCAAGGACAAGGTGGTTTCATGAAACGTAGACTGGAGACAGTGAGAGGACTGCGCGAGCAGGAATAAACGTCGTTTCAACCGACGACGACGACGACGACGACAACGGGCTGGCGAACGAAGCTGCGAATGAAAGCTAATGAAAGTAATTAATCGAGAAACACGTTCCCCGTCTCTTATTAAAAGCTCCGGATCCGAAAGGAGTTTAATTAGGAACTCGATTCCGCTCATTGAGAATATGGAATACAGACTGGCACTTCCGCAGGAAGATCAATTACATCAATTTAATGATTAATCGTTCTTTCTTTCTTTTTCTTTTTCTTTTTTTTTCTTGCCAGACGTTCCGTTCGAAGGAAATTAACGAAGGAGTAAAGCTTCGAACGTCATGCACATTGACCTCTTGCGCTGGAATGACGTGCCACACACGTCGAGAATTTTTTGCTCCAAAACTGCAACATCTTCTCGGTTTCAAGTTTTTAATTGGTAGTATTTAAATGGTAAACTCGGGCAAAACAAATAATGAATTTGTTACTTCTCAATAATTTCTATCCGGTGATATCGTATCACCGACGAGTTGAAGAAAAAGAAAACGACGAATTATTGTATACGGTTTGGTCGCTCGTTATGGTCCGCAATCAATTGCCAGCGCAAGTGGCACCTTTGGCCCAAAATTGCAATATTTTCTCAGTTTTAAGTATATTGAAATATAACCCAGGCGAAACGAATATTAAATTCATTAGTTCTTAGTAATTTCTATCCAGTGATATACCGATCAAGTCAAAAAGAAGACGAATTATCGTATACGTATACGGCTTGGTCACTCTTTATGGTCCGCGAACCAGTTACTAGAGGTTAAGCACACTTCTCGAATATTTGGCCCGAAATTGCAATACTTTCTCAGTTTCAAGTATATTTAAGTATAACCCAGGCAAGACAAATAATAGATTTATTACTTCTTAGTAATTTTTTATCCAATGGCAGACCGATAAATTCAAAAAGAAGACAAATTGTTGTATACGGTTTGGTCACTCGTTATGGTCCGCGAACCAGTTACTAGTGCAAAAGTTCAAGCACACTTCTCGAATATTTGGCCCGAAATTGCAATACTTTCTCAGTTTCAAGTATATTTAAGTATAACCCAGGCAAGACAAATAATATATTTATTACTTCTTAGTAATTTTTTATCCAATGACAGACCGATAAATTCAAAAGGAAGACGAATTATTGTATACGGTTTGGTCACTCGTTATGGTCCGCGAACCAGTTACTAGCGCAAAAGGTTAAGCACACTTCTCGAATATTTGGCCCGAAATTGCAATACTTTCTCAGTTTCAAGTATATTTAAGTATAACCCAGGCAAGACAAATAATAGATTTATTACTTCTTAGTAATTTTTTATCCAATGACATACAGATGAATTCAAAAGGAAGACGAATTATTGTATACGGTTATTGGTAACTCGTTATGGTCCGCAATCAGTTGCCAGCGCATATGGGTACCTCTTGCGCTCGAATAACCTTGCCACGCACGTCGAGAATTTTTTTTGTCCCCTTATTGCAACATTTTCTCAGTTTTAAGTATGTTTAAACGTAACCCAGGCAAAAGAAAATAAGTTTGTTACTTCTTAATCATTTCTATCCAGCGATGTCGCACCGACGAGTTCAAAAGAAAAAGGAAATCGACGGAATTATTGCGTACGGTTCGGTCACTCGTTATGGTCCGCGCAGCCAGTTGCCAGCGCAAGGGGGTTAATACACATCGTGCCGAATGACGAGAAAGAGGAGAACGTCGTTTGAAAACGTTTGCCAATCGATTGTCATCCGGTACGTGATCGAAAATGGACAGACTGATGCATATTTTTATCCCGGCTCTGGAAGTTGATCGACAAACACGTTCAGGCGAGCTGTTTATTTCGGAGAGCAGTTGGGGAAATGTATGTATCGAGATAGGTTGGCGTAACGCTTCCTGCTTCGCGAATCCCGTTCTCCCGCGTTCACCAAATACGCCGCTAATTATGGAAGTAGGAAGCAACGAGATACTATTTACTAGATGTGGCAGGAAGTGCATTTCTTTCTTTTTTCCCCTGCTTTCGTCGTTTGATCCGATCGGGACGAGCCAGCGGCTCCGCTCGCTCGTTCGCGATTTCTCTTCGTTACGGCGCGATCCGGTCGCGAGGAAAAGCAAATGAAACAAACAAAAGACCTTGCACGTTGATTTATTTTCCGGCCGCGCGAGAAAAATGGCTCGCGATCGTTGTCGGGGGACTGATACGATCCAGATACGTCTTCGCGTGATTTCATCGGATCGCCGTCTGACTCACACGCGATATTCAGTTTCTTCCGTCGAAGAAGAATGCCACCGCGGCCAGATTAAAAACGTTTGATACGCAGCGCGTCCTCGCTTTCTCGTTACGCAACCCGGCCAGATAAAGTACCCGGGGCTTTTCTCTAACCTTGCTATATCTTCGTCGCTGTAATCGCTAACTTACTCCCGGAAGTTGCATTATATCAACTCTCCGGCCAGCGCGATTGACAATGAACGATTTTCGATTCAGAATGTAGCTATTTTTGTATTACTGAGATTTGAAAAGGTATACAAATCCTATAAATATATATATATATCTTAAAAAAATATATTTTATATATTTTTATATATATATATATCTTAAAAAATATATTTTATATATTTTTATATATATATCTTAAAAAAATATATTTTATATATTTATATATATATCTTAAAAAATATATTTTATATATTTATATATATATCTTAAAAAATATATATATATATATATATTTTAAGATATATTTACCGAAAATCGATGGTAATAATTTACTATTTTCGCACGTGTATGTAAAATGAACATTGATAATTGCATCACGATCGTCCGATTGTTTTTCATTACACTACGAAAGGGTTAACGAGCCAAATACGAAACGGCGACACAATGAAAAAAGCCGCTCTAGCGAGATAACAATCGCGCTATTATAACATAACCTATAGACTCATAGATACGCTATCGCTTTGATACGTGCAGTTGTTTTACAAATCTCAAAGTATTTGAGATTAGGTAACTGATAGAAAGAGAGAGAGAGAGAGAGAGAGAGAGAGAGAGAGAGAATTCTTTTGGAAATAGGCATCACGACGTTCGACCTTGCATTTTCGAAGCGTCGCTCGAAAATAAGGGAAAGATCCAGGGGCGTAGACGAGAGGGGCCCCGTTTGTCTCCATGGAGACGAGTGTTGACCCGAACGGTGTCCTTTCTCCCTCTATCCGCACCTTTCGGCCATTTCCAGCCCTCGTTTACCTTCGAAGGGCTCGCGCACGTGTCTCTCGGCTCGCGAAAGTGTGTCAATCGCGTGTGCGTACGCGTACAATGCCAGGGGTCAGGCAGATATGAAAGGCGTGGGTGTTTACAGTGCCGGTTTCAGGACTACCCCTCGAAATTTCCACCGATCGCACGCCGTTCGGCTCGTCGAATTGATACGACTCCATGATTTCAGTGTTACGTTTCTTTTATCACTTGTGTCTTTTTTTTTTTCTTTAGAGTTTTTTTTCTAGAGAACGCTTGAAATATGAACACGTTTGTTGCTCGTGAAGAAACTGCACGATCATCGAGAAACGTGACAAATCCTGACCTACCTTGACGCGAGTGCGATTTTCCATGTATTCGTGTAGCATTCCTAACGGGCCGAAGGTCTTTTGCATTTTCGCGAGGACGTTCCTTCCTTCTATACTCCATCCTCGCCCTCTGGTCGTCTTTCTGCCAGCTACGGGCTCTGCACATCGTAAAGAAAAAGAAAAAGAAAAAAAAAAAAAAAAGAGAAAAAAAATCGCTAATTTCAAATTTATTCTCCCTACGATGCCACCGCCACTGTGTGCTGTATATAGATCTGAATCGAACACCTGAATTGTGTCGAAATTGCGTCTCGTCAATGTGAATTAGGTCCTGAGAGAACGAAGTAAGGATATCACCAAAATAAAGACAGACGTGGGTGGAATTCGCTGTTGTATCTCTCGACCAAGAGAGAGAAAGAGAGAGATTATCAGAGCTAAACATTAAACTAGCAGATTTTTTTTCACGCGACCATAACGGCGTGCTAATAAGAATTTACGTGGCTGCTGCTGCTGCTCGCTTCGCCGACAAATCATCATCGTTCATCGTTGTATTCCGCGGAGAGACAAGTGCGCGCCGATAGCATCGGTGCTTCTGGTCGTCCACTTTTTGCTCGTTTTTTGCCATTACGAGAGAGAGAGAGAGAGAGAGATAATGACAAGCCATTACGCATACAGTGACCAACAACGGGGACGATGTCGAAGATACCGGGCAGATCCGCGGGTTCCATTAAGAAAAATCGAATCTTTGTTCGAAAAGACAGAAGCGAGCCGAATTGCTGCTTCGGAGCGTCTCTCCTTTTTATCGATAAGGTCGTCGCTGGCGTTTCATGCGAGATGAAAGAAGAAAAAGGGCCTACGCACATGTATTCGCCACGATCGTGACAGTTATTTACGATAAAAAAAAAAAACATTTGATTATGGTAAATTAGACGAACGCCTGCTCTTACGTACGTTTCCCACGAGGGTTTTGTTATACTATTCTCAGCGGCGAAAGTATCCACCGTGCATAACTGGTCATCGGCCGGCTCTAAGCGATCACAAATCAGCCTCCGGAATATCATCGTGCTTCTATAAAAACCAATTTCGGATCAGGGAAGCGCGTATGTACGGTAGCATAGCGAGATCAGAAGAGGTGGGAGGGGGAGAGGGGCCTGGCGAGAAGGTGGCTCGGCCCTGGTAGCTCGGCGCGGCGCGGAAAGAGGAGGAACGCCGCAGAGTTACGTAAAGGCTGGCTCTCTGCTGCTATACACACTCTCTGCCGTACGATCTACGTACGTACACGAGAGTATGTGCACTTATTTTTCGTCGGTGTGCGCGCAATTTCACACATACAGCGACGCGAGTCGCCGCTCGCTCGCTCGCTCGCGCGCGTGCAAGCGAGGTGGAGGAGAGCGTGCAAGCTGTTGGCGCGAGCACGTTCCGAGTGCAGCGTCGATAGGTGTTGCGTTGCGTGCAGAGACAGGCGATCGCGCACTCGCGAGATCGACGCTGCCAATTGGCTTTCTCCGATAACTTTCATCCACCTTAAACCTATTCCTTCCACCCTCCCCTCTTCCTTCTCCTCCTCCTCTCCTCCTCCATCGCCTTTATACCACGGTCCCTCGCTTCTTTTCCACCTTTCTTTATTCCTTTCCGCGTGCACCACGCGCCACTTTCACTATCGTCGCGATCCAATTCCAACTCGTGCGCTCTACGACGCGCGCGACCCGGCCATTTTTCGAGACCGCGGCGCTACGGTTACACACCGGTTTAACGCCGCCGTAGAGCGTTGGATGATTTCTAAAAATACGAGGTTGGGCGAAGACTCTCCCCCCTCCCCCCCCCCCCACTCGCGACCGATTTATATACATTACGAGACCGGTAAAAATACCGGCTCATCGTGAATTCCCGAAGGAAACACGCGTTTGCGCATGTCCGAAAGAGAGAGAGAGAGAGAGAGAGACGTTAGCTGGCGGTGAAATTAGAAATTACACAGTGTTTTTTTTTTTTTTTTCTTCTGGGAGCGCGTTGGCGTTAGATGAGCCCCGTAAAATGGATTATCGAAATTACGGAGCGTGTCTCGCGCATTTACGGCCGCGTAATCTTCCGTCCGGTGTATATAAAGGAGAGCTATGGAATATTTACTCGTGGGGAAGGGCCGCCTCCGTGTTTACGACAGCCGCTTTCCACCGTTCGGTTTCTCGTTCGCCACGCGAGGATGCAATCTGCCTGGACGATCTCGCGAACTCTCGAGAAAGCAAAGGGAGAAAGAGAGAGAGAGAGAGAGAGGGGAAAGGGGGAGTAAACGTTCCATTATTTTTTTCCGCTTCTAGCCTGTGGAAGCTGGAAGCACCGATTTTTCTTTTCGATTTTCAGTTATATACACCGGCGCGAAGGAGATAACGCGAGGCAGCGCTCCGCGAGCGTTCACGTGCGTGCCGCGCGGTTAGTAGGAACCGTTAGCTTTGCAACTGCCTACCGAGAACGACGGCGCAGCCCGCGCGAAACCGCTCCGACGTTATTATCCACCGCTTGACCATCCGACTTTTTATCACCTCGACGGAAAATGTTGTTCTCGCGGAAATTTTGGAGGGCAAACTCGTCTCGTTTCAAATTTATCCGCAAACAATCGCTCGCGTTTCGTTCCACGACCCGGGGGGGGGGAGGGGGAAGGGGGGGGGAGAGAAGAAGATGGAAACTCTGGTACGATTTCTCGAGGATCAGTCGCGAATCAGGCTGGCTCGAGATGAGAGAACATGTCTCGCGTTGTTCACCTTGCAAAAATGTTTACCGTGCGTGCGAAGGAGCACTCGGCGCCGCGGTGAAGAGGATCCTGTGCAGGTGGGTACGACGGCCCCTGGAGAATGTTCGTACGCGCGGCAGGTGGGACGACTCGCGGTACTCCCTTGCGCGATGCTGGCCGACGAAATATCGGGGGGGGAGGGAAAGGGGTGGCCAAGAGGAAGAAGCGTGAACCAAAGAGGTCGAGGAAAAGGGAAAGAAAGCAAGAAGGAATAAAGAGAGAGAGAGAGAGAGAGAGAGAGAGAAACTTTTTCCAGAGACGCGAGATTGAGAAGACTGACTGAGACACACGGTAGCGAAGGTGGTGGAGGAGTAGGAGGAGGAAGAGCAGCGAGAAGCATCGGTGGGGATGGGTGGGAAAGGGGGGAGGGGGAGGGAGGGAGGGCTGGTTGTACCCGCGGATGATCCCCAGGTTGAGTCGCGCTGGGTTCAACGTCCTGGCGGGCAGCGCACCCGAGAGCTGAGGCAGGCAGCCGAGCAGCCACCAGACCTCTCTACAGACACACACGCACACACACATACACACACACACACACGTCCATCCTGTACGTGTGTGTATTACGCTCGTACACACACACACGCGCACGCGACGCGTACCTACGCTCCACCGACGTTGCACTTGCGCGCACGCGCTCCTTCACACACGCGCACACACACTGACAGATTTTTTTTCGTTCGCATGTGTGTGTGTGTGTGTGTGTGCATGCGCGCGCGCGCACGAGAAGCGCGACGAGGGGGGAGGGGGTGGAGAGAGACGAGAAGGTAGAGTACGTACATGCACGACGTTGTATAAGAACGTACACACGGGAAGGCGAGCAGCACGCACACGAGGAAATGTCGGCTGGCTTGTCCGCCTCTCGCGAGAGTTTGCTTTACGCGAACTATCCGTAGGTACTGTTACTTTTGCGACCAGGCCCTTTCGATCCCTTCTCGCCTGTCTCTCGCTGCCTCTTTCTCTCTACCGCTTCTTTCGCTTTGTTTTCTTCTAAGTAGCAGGCAGGTAACGAGCCAAAGTGGATACACGTAGAAAAGAAGACGAATGGACGTGAATTTCGAGGGACGTTGTTGTTCTCCGTGGTTTACCGGTTTCGAAGGAACGATTTCTGTCTGTTTCTCTCTCTCTCTATCTTGAAGACTCGAGTCGCTAACTGCGGATAACTCGTCGACCGCGAGAACGGTTCGTAGGAAAGTCCATGGAGGCTGAGAGGTGAGATTCCAGAAGAAAGGGGGGAAAACACTTTTACCCGCGCGAAGCAGAGAAAAAAAAAAATAGATCGACTAAAGGGAGATGGTTGAATTTGGGACCGTTCTCAACGATATGCATCATCTAGGAAGTTTGCCGAATTCCTCTCAACGACTCTTCGCTCCGTATGTTCATTCATACTCGTCCGTTTCTTTTCCGATCAACGAGGGTCACAATTGACCCCCAGCGCCGTGTCCATTTTCACGTACGATCTCTTCAGTCAATCATTTGCTATTCGCGAACTTCTTCAATTTCTCGACCACGTGAGTTCCGAAACAGTTGATTCCATCGACTGGAAGAAGAAGAAGGAGAGAGAGAGAGAAAAAAAAAAGAAACGATACCGTTCGAAATTCAAAGAGGGTGAGAAACGCTCTCCACCGTTTCGAACGTGCTCTATAGTCATCTGTTACGTTGGGATAGGTCGAGGCGACGGTACGTGCACACAAACGACCGAGGAATTGGATCGTCCCATCTACCGGGTGTCGCTCGTCTACCGTCTCCGCCGGAATGCTCGAGGAAAGAAAGAAAGAAAGAAAAAACAAAAAAGGCAAAAGAAAAAGGGAACGTTGCTTCTTCGTTCGCTCGGTTAGTCGGTTCTGTTCGTGCGAGGAATTCGAGACTAGCCGGAACGCTTCCGTATCCGATAACGTTGTCGAAGAAAAAACGCCGGCGCGGTGCATCGCGCGTTCGACGTGGATTGCCCGGTCGTTGCACAGCCAGACTACCCGCGAAGAAGAGAAGTCCCCTTCTTCCCGCGCGTTGGTCGGCACGTCGACCACGGTGGTGGAGTTACCGAATGGTGGATGCATATGTCGCGCGCGTATAAATATTGCGCAACACGCCGGCGAGAATCGAAGGGAAAAGATCGGCGGCGGTGCGACGTGTATTCCGTTACTCGGGGCGAACGACTGCCGGTGGACTCGCTTTGCGTCGTGTTTCTGTCCGGCCGAACAGGCGAAACTTGACGACGCTCGCGTGTTGCTTGGCGTTCCTCGAACGGACCTCGTTATCGTCGACGACGACCGAGCGTGTCGCGACCACGCCGACGTAGAATATAAAAAAAAAAAAAAAAGACGAAACAAGGAACAAGAGTGTGGGAAACAGCGAGAGATCGACACCGTTCGAGTGTCAAACGTTCTAACGTTTTTTCGAGACGAGCGCGTGGTCCATGATGAACGAACGAACGAACGAACGACGAATGACTCACGTTGGCCTAGGTCGCGTAAAAATCGGTCCACAGCCGCCACGGTAGTCAATTCCCCGAACGAGCTTTCTCCCCCGTTTTTCGCGTGCAAGAAAGGGACAGGCGTACGCTGTGGCGTACGCCTGTCTCGAGGGACGCCATCCCGAACGCCAGCTATTAAGAGTGCGCGCGGGGATTACGAACGTTACGCGAGAAAGCTCCGGGCGAATTAAGCAACGATAATAACGTTCGATTACGTTCCACATACAAGCGCAATCATGAAAATCACAGTTCCGGCCGAGCGTGTTCGGTGGCCGCCTCCGAAGCTGAGGAGCCTCGAGTTGAGTCGAGGTCGACGTCCGGACGCAACAAGTGCTGCTGCGCGACTCTCGCTGCGCCCGCGATCCTCTTCGATATCGTACACCGAGTCATTCGACGGATACCGGCTTGTTACTTCTTAAGCGTCTTCCGTCTTCTTCTCTTCACGTTGATCCGTGACTTTGTTATCCCATCTTCCTTGCGATATATACATATATATATATATATATGTCGATGACGAAAGATATATCCTCATTCTGTTCGAGTTATCTCGCCGGAAGTCGAAGGACCTCGACGAGGTTGCGCAGCGATGCACCGTGCAAAATTTTCGGTCTAGAAGACGGTCAATCCGGCGCGGAGCCTCGGGTTGAGTCCGAGGTCGACGCCCGGGCGCAACAAGTGCTGCATTACGTACGTATACGCTGTTACACCCCACCCCACACTCACACAGCCCAACGCGACCAGCCCCTCTCCACCCTCTTGTGGAAGAGTTCTCTCTCTCTCTCTCTCTTTCTCTCTCTTCGTCTCTCTGTGTGTATGTGCCGTGGCTTTCCACATGGTGTCGCGCGCGCGCGAGAGAGCCCTACAGACCATCACACCACCGCGATTCTCGGCCGGCGCACTCAGGTCGGAGAGATGCGAATGCAAGCGCCGGAGAAAGAACGAAGGAGAAAGACGGTGAATGCTGCGGCGAGTGGCGCACGCCCGGTGCCTCCTCCACCTCCTCCTCCTTCTCCTCCTCCTCCTCTCCTCTCCTCGCGTCGCCAGTAAATATAAAACTGCACTGGGTCAGGGATCCGTGATTTATCGGCTGCCTCGCGTAATTGGCTGCCGGCCAATAGATACATACCCCCGGGCTACCCGCTGCGACATGAAGGGAACGTGCCTACCTCTCTGTCTACACTGACTAAACCAACCAACCCCTCCTGTCTGTCCTTCTTCCCTCCTGTGCTCGTCATATTATCTCTCTCTTTCTCGCTTCTCACCCTCGAGTCTCTTTGGCGGCCACGGTAGGAGAGGACCAACCGCCGAAATTTCGTCGGGCAATCAGTCGAGGCCTGTCGAGGCCGCGGTAACCGCGCCACTTTCACTGAAAATCTAAGCCGACCCTCCACTTGGCACCGTGTCAGAATCAGAGGTTAAGAAGCGCCAGAAGGCGAGAGCTTCGGTCAAGTTTCGACCGGACGTGCCCGGCACACGTCTGATGTAATACCAGTGCCGTCCATTCTCGAGGCATTCGGCGCGTACTTTGGTCTCCCCCCTCCCCCCTCCCCGCCACCGTCTTTTCACTCTTGGAAATATGAATCGACACCGGTGATTCTGAAAATTGACGTGACAAGAATCCCCCATCGTTGCCGAGCGTGTCTAGATACTGTTGACGATTCTTTTTAACCTCCCGTCAGCCAATTTTTGGTCCCAAACTGCAACATTCTCTCAGGTTTTAAGTATACCTTAAATCAAATGTAACTTCCTGATAGTTTCTATCCAGCGATATCACACCGACGACCACAAAAAAAAAAAAAAAAAAAAACGAAGCGACGAATTATTGTATACGGTCACTCGTTACGGTCCGCGAACCAGTTGTCAGCGCAAGGGGTTAATTGGCCCTAAATCTACACTAACGATACTAATGACAATTGTTTCTCTTTTTCTTTTAATTAGCTCTCGTTTTAAGTTGTTGCATAATAGAAAAAAAAAAAATACATTCGGTAAGCCCGCGCGTCGAAGGCTTCCGCGGTATTGCGAAACGTTTCGGGACCTTCTGCCGCGGATTCCATCGCGCGTTTTCCAGGAGAAGGTCTCGGCGATTGCCTGGCGACGTTAGATACGATCCGATGATGCAAAGGCGCGCGATAAAAGGACTCGGCCGGGAAGGAAACAATGAGACCAGACCAGGGTTTCCATCAATTGACGCACTTTCGCGGAGGTCAAATTCCACGCGGCTACGCGCGCGCCTCGCGATGGCGTTACCGACGACCTTCGTGGTATTTGTTGGTTCGTAAATAAAGTGTGCCAATATCTCGAGATATAGAGTCCACAGTCGGCGTCGTTTGTTCGTGCCATTAGCGAGAAACCGATTTAGATGCGGGGGGGAACTCAGGAAAGAAAAAGAAAGAAAAAGAAAGAAAAAAAAAAAAAAAAAAAAAAAAAAAAAAAAAAAAAAAAAAAAAAAAAAAAAGAAGAGAAAGAAAGAAAGAAAGAAAAAGAAAGAAAAACAAGAAAAAGAAAAAGGAACTGCATCGAATTAAACGACAAACTTCGCGATAGGATCGGCTGAACAATAAAAACGCTGTTTCTCGTTAATTATCCTTCTCTGCGGGTTCGCGCTGCACGCACCGCGAATTGCTATTTTCACGCGATGTTGCGTTCGTACATTTTTATCGCGATGCAAGAGGGAAAGTTTGGCTGGGCCGACGGTATTGGTCAACCGGTCACCTGCTTGGTTAAATTGCGACAGGATGTTCGTAAAAGATTCTACAGTCTACGAGAATCTTGCGTTCTCGAGGAGAAAGTTGTAACGATGTTATGCTATTCTTTTTTTCTGCTTTTAGTCTTACTTCTCTTCTATTTTCTTCGTAAAAAGCAAGGGATAAAACAGAGAAATATCCGTTTTTTTTTTTTTTTTTTGTGATTTATAGCCTCTTGCGCTGGAATGACATTTTCTGTTCCAAAATTGTAATATTTTCTCAGTTATGAGTACATTTAAGCGAAACAAAATAGGCAAAACAAATAATAAATTTACTACTTCTCAATAATTTCTATCCAGTGATGTCGTACCGGCAAGAGTTCAAAAGGACAGCGACGAATTATTGTGTACGGTTTTGGTCACTCGTTATGGTCCGCAATCAGTTGCCAGCGCAAGTGCCACGCACGTCGAGAATTTTTTGTCCCAAAATTGTAATATTTTCTCTGTGATAGTTTTAAGCATATTTAAGTAAAACAAAAGAGCCAAACAAATAATAAATTTACTACTTCTCAATAATTTCTATCCAGTGATATCATACCGACGAGTTCAAAAAGAAAGCGACGAATTATTGTGTAACGGTTTGGTCACTCGTTACGGTCCGCAATCAGTTGCCAGCGCGAGTGGTTAAATACACGAAACTATTAAATACAATTTATCACCATGTCCTCTTATGAAACCTATCCATCAATTAAATTAAAGATTAAATAAATAAATAAAACGCTATGCACATAGCAAAAGTTTCTTTTAATGACGAATGACTTTGCGAACAGTTGGCTAATTCATTTATTCAACGATACGATTCTCTCTGAATCTGGACGAGGAGAAAGATATAACATCAAAAATAGACAGATCAGAAAAAGAAATTTTAAAATCACACACACCCGCGTCTAGTCTTTTCCAACTCGTCAACGCGAACAGGCTCGCTGGAGAAACGTTTGAGAATCGGTCGATCGTAATCGAGATGGATTGGGCGGGACCGTGGATACAGGATCGGTTTTGGTCGTCTTTGCGACACGCACCAGAACGACGAGGCTCTCGCGACGATTTTGACAATCGCGCGGCTGTCTCCGCCATGATGAATGAACGACTTGCAGGCACGATCGACGTTATCGTAAATCTCCCTATTGTGAAGACGCTCGTCATCCGTTTTGGTCCTTGTCGCGCGGGCACACGCCGATCTCGAGATGAACGAAGTGAGGTCAGATTCGTATCGAGGCTCGAGCCGGCCGAACTCCGATTCTAATTCCGATTAAGACCTTTTACAACGTTCGGAGACGTCTTCGTACCAGGCCACGCGATATCCACGGCCGTGTCCACGACGCGACCAAGTCCTCGCGTGTCATCTCCTGCAATCGATTTTGTTTTAATACTCGGAACAGCTATGCAAACTGGGGCGTTTCGATAATAACAAAAATTCGGATTATACGCGAATTTTTTTTGTAAGTTAACAGGTAGAAAATGTGTCACTGTGTTTTTTGTTGATCAGACGTTTCCAGAGTACGATGAGGTTAACAATAATCGTGCAAAGTTATTGGAACTGAAGAGTGATAAAGTGCTTATTGTACAATTTTTAATTATTTTTATCATTGTTCATATCTATAAGTTACAAAAACTTACTTAAATAAATTAAAACGTTTAAACTTATATATAGTATACTTATATACTATACTTATATATAAGTATATATAAGTAGTATTATATATACAATAGTATTATATAAATACTTATATATAAGTATATATAAGTATACTTGTATATAGTATACTATATACTTATATATCAAGTCGAAGATTTCTAAAATAATCGTTTGAAACTCCATCAAGTTATATTATTAATTCATCTGCGACTTGTATACATGCTAGTATGCTAATTGTAGTCGACGATCATACCGAAAATGTTAATCTGTTGTCCAGATTTTCCACTAATACATTGTATTATATCAAGCAATGAAAATCGACAATTGATAGATGAAATTTATTACTCTGTTATTTTAGTTGGATGACATCGAGACAAATTAGGTGTACATTTATATGCTGTTTATTTCCGCCCTCAACAAATACAGAACTAATATTACTTCGTCAATAACGTCGATTAATGCTTGTAACCCTTCACCCCATAGTTGCTGTATCACACCTGTTAACCAAAAAAAAAAAAAAAAGGCGAATTAAAATTAATGGCCAACGATTATCTACATTTACATTATTTCTATATTTCTCCAATATTTTCAACACGTATCCCGTGTCGCTAATTTAATCAACACAAATATAACAAAAATATCCATAATAATCCACAAATTGTACAAACATTGCAATAACAATTACAAATTGTTACAAGAAAATTACTCTACAACCTGCGTGCAGCGTTCTCATTAAATTATACTATTAATGTCTCACTGACTCATCGAACATACTTAGACTACGTTATTCGCTCGTTCTTCAACTCTACCTTTTAAACGTACATTTTAAACCACGCGCGAGATCACCGATTCCAGCACGCGACCACCCAACACTCTGCTTGGCACCGTCTCGACCACGCTTTCCTTCACGACGCGCACTGGCTCCTCCACGACCACGCTGTTTGGCCTCACCGCGGCGAGCATCCGCGGGTTGTACAGTTGTATTTGAGGGACGTTCACATAGGAGCCCAGCGTCTCCTGGTCCATCACAAAAAAAGATTTGTAACCTGGTACAACCACCTCCTCCGTTATCGGGTTGACGATTTCCTGGGTGATGGTCTCGACGAGTGAACCACCTGGCACCCTCACAGATTCCTTGACAGAGACCGATGGTTGGACAATATTCACGTTCGTCTGCGCTGGCAGAGCTTGAGCTGGCTGGATGATCTCCGTGATCGACGAACCCGGCTGAGTGATCACCGTTGCGCTTGGTTGACCATCGACGAAGCTCAAAGTTTGAATCTGTCCTCCCGGTTGGATGTTGAGCGTCTCGACAGTTTGAGGCCTCGATTGAATATTGAGCAGCTGGGCTGCTGGCTGGCCGTTAGCCTGGATGCTGAAGGTTTGAACAGGCTGCTGGATACTCAGAGTTTCGACAGTCTGCGGGCCAGATTGGATGTTGAGAAGTTGGGCTGGCTGGCCATTGGATTGGATGCTCAATGTTTCGACAGTCTGCGGAGCAGACTGGATATTGAGAGCTGGTTGACCGTTTGACTGGAGGCTCAACGTTTCGACAATCTGCGGGCCAGACTGGATGTTGAGAAGTTGAGCTGGTTGACCATTAGATTGGATGCTCAACGTTTCGATAGTTTGCGGAGCAACGTTGAAAGCTGGTTGACCATTAGACTGGATGCTGAGGGTTTGAACAGGTTGTTGGATACTCAGAGTTTCGACAGTCTGCGGGCCAGATTGGATGTTGAAAAGTTGAGCTGGCTGACCGTTAGCCTGGATGCTCAAGGTTTCGACAGCTTGCGGCACGGACTGAATGTTCAGGAACTGAGCTGGTTGTCCATTGGCTTGGATGCTGAGAGTTTGAACGGGTTGTTGAATGTTCAGAGTCTCAACGGTCTGTGGCAACGATTGGATGTTGAGAAGCTGAGCTAGCTGACCGTTAGACTGTATATTCAGCGTTTCGATAGTCTGTGGCACCGATTGTATGTTGAGAAGTTGAGCTGGCTGACCGTTAGACTGTATGCTCAGAGTTTCGACAGCCTGTGGCACCGACTGGATATTAACGAGCTGAGCTGGTTGACCAGGCACCTGGATCAGAGTCTGGCCCGGAACGACCGCTCCAGGCTGATTCAAGAGAAGCACCGACTTCTTGGATCTCTCCTGGTCTTCCTCTTCTGCCAACTTCAGTATCTCCTCTTCCAGAATCCCGTCGATCTTCGACGTTGGGACGGCTCGGACCACCACCAGGATCACAGCGAACAGTGCAAAAATTTGCTTCAGATGCATTTCTTCCGATTGTTCGTCGACGTTGAACTGTACCCATCTCGACGACGAGCCTGGTTTTTAAAGAGATGCTCGTCGCTGCATCGACACGTTTGATGTCGAAATCTCTCACGTAACGGAAAACAACGCGTATCGCTGATACGTAAAATTGGAGGCGTTATCAAGTCACGGATTGATATCGGTCGCGTCTGTGTCAGGTGAAAACGAGAATGCCTGATGTTTGCATAACAGAGGAGAGCACATCTTGCGTGTTTCATCTGATTTACTTTTAGCGAATAATTGTTATCTCGTGGAGCTTCTGAACGCGTTATTTTCGTACACGTTATGTTGTACGTACGTGGCACGTACGCGTAATACGTAAGCAAATATGTGTCTCAGTTTGCAAAGAAATAATATATGGAATCTTTGATACAATAATTGTGATTACTATTGTTAAAAATGATAATCTTTATCATTATTAAAAATAATAAAAAAGAAATAGAAATTGGAAATATAGTTCACAACAACGCATTAACCTGTTAATTGTTTCCTTTATAATTATTTTCAAATGGTTAACATACTATCATCGACGAAATATTTCGAATTACATGTATGTAAATGATTATTAATTATATATGATATGAAATATTTTATAAGGATTAAATAATTCATTTTATGAGATAAAACATAGATATAAATTTCGCGTAGTAGTCAACGTGATAAAGATCAGGAAGTAACTTATGATATTATTTATAAATACTTCAGTTTCTCTCTCGTCGTATAAAATTATAGAATTTAGATTGAAGACAAATATTAATTAAATCCCCGGAGTTTCCCTTTATTAAAAACTAGAATTTTTATAACATAAATCAATCGAGAAGAATCGCAAATGAAATTTTGCAACATTGATTTTCAATGGATTACTTTAAATGAGAATTTCGTCTATAAATTTTCACAACGTGATCAAACTTGACTAATTTTGTCAAAATTTCACGCGCGAATATTGTCGAACGTTAAAAATAAAGGAAAATTCTCAATTCACAAACTATTACTAGGACTGCAACAGGATTTTTGTGCAAATTCATAGTTTTGGAAATATAATTAAAAAAATGAAACTTCGATAGAAAATCGTTTCAAATATTACAATATATTATTAAGAACACTGTATTTTAGAAATTCTTTGCAAACATTGCACTTTAAAATTTCCTACGAATGCATAAAAGTCTGCAGTCTAATTTGCAAATTTACGAATTTATCGTTGCCAAGCATTAAAACGTTAAGTCGAATTCACAGGCTCTAAAGAATCTTAAACCATTCGTGCGTCCTCGAGCCAGCCCTAATCACGGCCTAAAACCGTTCCAAAGCCTAATTTCATTTATTTATACTTCCTATTGGACAAATGCATAAACACACGCGGTCTAATTTGCAAGTTTACGAATTTATCGTTGCCAAGCATTAAAACGTTAAGTTAAATTCCTAGATTCTAAAGAATCTGAACCGATTCGTGTCCTCGAGCCAGCCCTAATCACGGCCTAAAACCGTTCCAAAGCCTAATTTCATTTATTTATACTTCCTATTGGACAAATGCATAAACACACGCGGTCTAATTTGCAAATTTACGAATTTATCGTTGCCAAGCATTAAAACGTTAAGTTAAATTTCTAGACTCTAAAGAATCTGAACCGATTCGTGTGTCCTCGAGCCAGCCCTAATCACGGTCTGAAACCGTTCTAACGCCTAATTTCATCTATTTATACCTCTGATTAGACGGCGATCTTCTTGACGTGGAACCACCAGACACCAAGGTCAGAAGCTTTCGCACTCCGCCCTGTTGCCTATCGATTCGTAACAGTCGCCTAACGTAACCCCCTCGATCGTAACTCGGCTGAAATCCCGTTCCTCCCCCCCCCCCCGTCTCATCGCAGATCATCTTCATCTCCCTCTAGCAACATCACCCCCACCCCTGTGCTGCAATCTCTCGCCGTGCAATTTCCTTCGCCGCGAGCAACGCTGATATTTCCAGGACGGTGATATTAACGACACCCGGTAGATCGTAATTTTGTCACTCGACGACGGAAAGAAGGGGAGGCGGTGGGAAGGGGTTGGCGCGCTAAGAAGCCGGCGCCCGGCTAATTGCATGCATTTTTAACGGACGATACGTCGTAATCGGCGCTGCCGGTATGATGGAAACGCGAGCATAAAGCTTTACGCTCGCGGCACCCTGGGGATAATAGAGCCCGAGATCGAGAGGGATCTCGGCCGTTTTTATTTTCGCCGGATGGTTCCGTGGAAAGGGGTGAAACGGTAACGGCCGATACTTACCGAGGAGGAATTCCCCGGAGGGGTTCCGTTTCCCCCCTCCGTTCTTCCTCGGTTTTTTTTCTTTCTTCTTCTTCTTCTTCTTCTTTTTTTTTTTTAATCTCTGTTTTGGTCCGTGACGGTTCCTTTTTTTTTTTTACTGGAGATTAGCGAAGGGCGACGAGGTATCAATTGTTTTAAGCGGATCCGAGGTTTTAATGAAAAGCTAGGGGGAACGACGAGGGTTGCGGTGAATTGTTTCCTTGAACGTTTTGGCGGTTTAATCTGTGTCTTTTTACGATTCTTTTTTTCTTTAGAATTCGATACTCTAGGTCGTACTTTAAATTAATTCCCAATTTAATTGGGCATTTAGGATCGCTTACTTTTGGAATTTTTATTAGAATTTTGCCATAAAACGAAGAATAAAATATCCTAAATTTTAGTAATCTGGTCTAATCTTTCATTCTAGTCTCTGTCTTTTTACGATTCTTTTATCTTTAGAATTCGATACTCTAGGTCGTACTTTAAATTAATTCCCAATTTAATTGGGCATTTAAGATCGCTTACTTTTGGAATTTTTATTAGAATTTTGCCATAAAATGAAGAATAAAATCAAATATCCTAAATTTTAGTAATCTGGTCTAATCTTTCATTCTAGTTTTTGTCTTTTTACAATTCTTTTTTTTTTAGAATTTGCTACTCTAGATCGTACTTTAAATTAATTTCCAATTTAATTGGGCATTTGGGATCGCTTAGTTTTGGAATTTTTAATAGAATTTTACCATAAAATGGAGAATAAAATCAAATATCCTAAATTTTAGTAATCTAGTCTAATCTTTCATTCTAGTCTCTGTCTTTCTACGATTCTTTTATCTTTAGAATTCGATACTCTAGGTCGTACTTTAAATTAATTCCCAATTTAATTGGGCATTTAGTATCGCTTACTTTTTATTAGAATTTTGCCATAAAATGAAAAATAAAATCAAATATCCTAAATTTTTTAATCTAGTCTAATCTTTCATTCTAGTTTGTTTTTTTACGATTCTTTCTCTTTAGAATTCGATATTCTAGATCGTACTTTAAATTAATTCCCGATTTAATTGGGCATTTGGGATCGCTTAGTTTTGGAATTTTTAATAGAATTTTGCCATAAAATGGAGAATAAAATCAAAATTTTCCTAAATTAATCCTAATTTAATCTAAATTTTTTTATCCTAAATTTATTAGTAATCTAGTACTAATTTATTTAACCATTATTCATTGACTTGATGATATTATCTAAAGGGGACTAAGAGGATCATTTAAAACGTTTGGCGACTAAATAAATTAGAAACTTTAATCATGGATGTAACAGTTGTTACTCGTTGAATTTTTTGATTTATTTACTTATATATTGATTCATTTATTGAGCGACTGGCGAATGATTCTTGAGATTCTTCAAGGCACCTAACAATTTTATAATTAAAATCTTTCTTCTTGCTAATCTTTACATCTCCAAAATCTTTTTTTACATATTTTTCCATTATTATTCTACGTAATTTATATTGTTCAAAACTGCGTAACAAATTGTACGATACTGTTCAAATTAAACTAAGTTTGATGAATTTTATAAGAAAGTCTCTTCTTTCTGATATTCACAACTCTAACATGCGAAAAATTGAATAATTATCCGCAATGTAGTATTATTGTTTCGTTATATTGATTACAGCATTAAATGAATTAACATTTGTCGATCTCCATTTGTCATAACTTTACAAATTTTAACAGACTATCTAATTTATTAATTTTTTTTTTATTACAATTGTAACAATGATCGACTCATTCTATATTTACAAAGAGAGCAGTATGCTATTATTCTGTCTTTGTGATTTAAAAAAATATAGAAGATTTATAGCAAAGAGAATAATATTCTTCTCGAATATAGTGTAGTATATGAGCGGATATACCTAAATTCGAAACTGACCTCTAGAGTCAGAAAGAAGGGAAAGGAATATGACGTTCGCGTGATTCTTCTTGGTAGAACGTACTTTCGTCCAGAGGTATATAAAAAGTACGAAACGACGTGGTAAGAACCTTATTGTTGTTCCAAGAAATTTTCATTCTTTTTTTTTCTTTCGTTTTGTTTCCTTCGACTGAAATGCTCATTAATTCGCACGCATCCGATTCGCGAGGTTCCATACGATCGATGGCCACCTGTATAAATCGCGTCGCGCCGATTCAAGGGGATTTAATGGACATTGATGTATCGACACGGTTCGGGACGGGCGTCCACCTGGCGTGATTAACGCCGACCTGTCCACAGGATATCCCGACAATGACGTTTCACGGCTTTCTGGTGTCCCCATGGCGAGATACACCCGGATCTCGTACATCTCGGACAACCTTCCCTTCGTTGTCGGTCTCTTTCGAGAGATGCTCAAGCCGTGTCTTCGACTTATCGACCTTATTACGTCGCCTGGCCTCCAGGCTACTGTCTGCGGGTCTCACTCGTAGACAAACGGATTTTCGGAATCCTCTTATTCGTATAAATTACCGTTTGAGACTGAATTTTACATTCTACATATTGCATTTTTCCACCTACAAATTTCACATTAATCACGTTGTAATATTCGACGTTAATTATTCTAATTCCTGGGAAACCTCCTAAATAACCCAAGGCACGAACCGACCAATCAGCCAACGCTCGTTACACATATCACCCTTAACGCAAGTCACCCTCAACATTGAAGCGGCTTTCCGTTTTCCAAAC